ATATTATATGTTAATATTGATAACAATAAGCTATTTAGCAAATTCAAATTATGTTATTTATTAAAAAAAGTAATTATTATACATTACATAACATTTTTTAAATAAATGTTATTTTAATACATTATATAAGCATTCTGTTAATATATTATGATATCCATTTAATAATTATGTTACATATAAAAATTTTCATTTGTATATTGCTAAATATATCATAAATAAAAATATGCTCATTATCTTTATCTATGTGATCTACGTATATGATATCTTGGTAAAACTGATACTGATATATTAATTTGATTGGTAGCATTCTTTTGGATTAAATTTGAAATAGTCAGATCACTAGTTAAATGATCTAATTCCTTTATTTGTTGTAATATATAATGGTTATCCATATTATAATTAGTTAAACGTGAAACTTTAAGTGTCAGATATAACATAAATACCTTCTTTAAAAGTGTCTTTAAAGTATTAATGATGATTATATTATTGAACAATTCATCTTCTTTGATAATAGCTAATTGAGTAAAGAAAATATTTTAAGAAAAGCATCGTTTACAAATAATGCTATATCATCTTCACTTGGTATCTCATTGGTACTTAAAATGCTATTTAAAGATGAATATTAAGTGATAATTACGTTCTTACAATAATATTTATAAAAATAACTTATTTATTAATTTTACATATTCTTCTGCATAAAAGTTAAGATCATTATTGAATTGTAAATGGTATTGTGCTAAGTATTCCAATCTGCTTCCTTTTAAAAATTTAATATTTTCATTATTTTTTCCCTGATTGGGTAATAGAATCTTTGTAACAGCTGCAACTGCAGCTGAACCAGGATTTTGACTTTATATAAACATGACTTTCATCTTTTTACACATATCAGAAATATGTTCACTAGTGATCTAAAATCAAATGGTTATATAATTTTAATCATATAACATATTATAAATAAATTTACCTCTCTGTTAGATACAGGTGGAGATTCAGTTGGCAATATCAGTATTGTTGTAGGGGTAAAGCCGAATGAAAGGTGATGACTTTAGTTTATATGTGATATCTGATGAGAAATATTATCATCTTGATCATCATTATCATAATAACGCTTACTATGTCATACTTGATTAGGAATCCTATGAGAACGAATTTGATCATTACTATTGGCTGAATATAATTTTGTATGGTTATCCTTTTAGTATCCAGATTATAATAATCTTTAAAGGGTCATCTAGTACTAAATTATCTAGGTGATAACCTAAGATCAAGACTAAATTATCTGTGATTTTGTTTATGACCTTTGTTAATTAGCTTGAATAATAAATAATTTATACGATCAATATTAATATAATCATCTTGGATGTTTGACAATGATCGATTAGTTTATTGATCATCTTGGATGTTTGATAATGATCAATTAGTTCGTTGTTCATCTTGAATGTTTAATGATCAATTGGTTTGTTGTTCATCTTAGATGTTTAATGATCGATTAGTTTGTTGTTCATCTTAGATGTTTAATGACCGATTGGTTTATTGTTCATCTTAGATGTTTGATAATAATTGATTGATTTGATCAATAGTATCTTCATTTTGATCACCAATTTTTCCTTTTGAAAATAATGATCTAAGAATTCGTTCTAGATCGTTATTATCATTTTTAATCTTTTTATTAGTAATTAATGATAAAATAGAATCATGTTCTAAATCATCATCAGAGTTATAGTTCTCTTTTACAAAAGGCTTAGTAGGTAACGATAATGATTTAAGTTGATCGTCTTGTCAAATATTAGCAACTTCAGACATTATTGCATTATTATCATCATCATTATCAAAGATCTCTTGCACCCGAGAAACATCCTATTGAATATCAACATTTTTAGATGATACTTGATTATCTTAAACATTATTAAATGAAACTGTAAGTTTTACTTCTAATGAATTAAATCTTTTATCAAAACATTTCAAAGACTTACCAGGAATTTTTGTATTGGTTTTTTGAATAGTTTTTCAATTAGCATGCGGTTTAGCTACCTTGGGTGCTGATGCTTTTCTTTTTTTTATCATTTGCTTCTTTTGTTAAACCTGAAAAAAAACGTATTTATAAGAAATAATTTTAAGAGAAAGTTTGTTGTATTTAAATGATAGAAATTATAACACAAGATAGTATTTATAAATTCAAAACAGTTTTTTTTTATAGAAATACTGATTATCATATGTGATATTAAATATAGTAAATATGATTATTATGTAATATCATTCATGTCAAAAAAGATATTAGTAAAACTTTTTTTTTAAAAAAAAAAATTTCTAATTTTTATTTTTTTTCAACATGGTTAAAATACACGTAAAACAATTCAAGTAGCAAATTTATGGCAAGTAATTCATTTAAGAATCGGTAAAAAGGTTAACCTTTGAAAAATCATTCAATAACCTCTAGACACAAATATTAATATATGTACTCGAAGTAACTTTGTTGAATTTTCTTTACCTTAACTTAACTTTATTAATGATGAAAGTTTTGATTTGATTTCACAACAAGAGAGGAATAATATTGTAACACATGATAATATACAAAATGCTACATATAACCTTTTTACAGATGATTTATATATAAATAAGGATAGTGTTAATGAAGATGAATAAGAAAACAGTGTTAATAAGGGTAAACAAGAAAACTATTCATTAGAATCTAATCATGATACAGATAGTAGTGAAGATAAGATTTCTTTTGAATTTAACAATTAATACGATAGGTCACAAAATATACCTGTTTATCTTAGCAATGCTGGACCTTACTTTCCTAATAAAATAGTGATGATGATATTCATTTAGTATACAAAACACATGGTAGGTAATAATAAATTATGCTATTTTAGAATATTCACATTTTTTTTAACAATTATCTTATTCAATAAATCAACAGAATCTCACATATATCAAGACTTAACAAAAATCTTGCAACATCCAGAATTTTGTGTATCTGATCTCTTTCTCAATATTATAGTATTAAAATGAATGCGATGTAGTCTGCTATTGATGATTCTTAATAGCTATAATGTTAAAATTAATCTAATGGATACCCCGTCTACTTATAATTTTCATAAAGAAGGATATACCTTTTCTATTCTCGATTACCTTCAATGTATTCTTAATAATTCATCTATTTATCCAAAATTATACTTTAGTTCTGGTGTCAAGACTTCAGAAAGGTTAGAATTATAGTATGGATAAATATGGAAAGAGTCACCAATGTTTGGTGAAACATCATACAGAATCAGAAACAGTAATATTTATAATTTATATTTAACGCTGTGATTAAACTTAAAGATTATTTATCATTATTTTTTTAATACTTTATCAAGCCAGAGATTTTGTGATCTATTATGTTCAAGAGAAAATAATTATATATTAACAATTGGGACAAGTCAATGGTATTGTAATACCTAAGAGAATAGTAATGAAAATTATTATACATTCTAAAGATTTTATATTATGCGAATCTTTCAGGTAATATAAAATCTATTAATCATCTAAAACAATCTTGAAACAACACTATTTGGTTAACTAAAGAATGAGAAACAATTCAAATTAATGATGTAATTAGTTATGTTGATGTCTGGCTTGAGAATTTAATGAAACCTGAGAATTATGATTATCAAATTGAAGAAATTCTATATACTCAAAACAATCAACCAAAAATAAGATGTATATATCAATAACATCAATTACCATATTGATACAATTTTCAGAATTCACCTAATCTTTACCATTTGAAGTTCTTCATAGATTTATATTATGATGATTTTGATGCATTTAATAAAGCATATCATAAGCTAGGCAGATTATATGTACAAATTGAAAATATGTTACTTTTAATGTGACAGCGTTTAAAAATTATTTTTTGGTTGGTCTTATTCCGTTTGATGTGAAAATTGAGAACTTTATTAAACCTTTTATTTGTTAAATATAGAAGTTGCAGGATGAAATAATTATGACTAATTGTAATGGTAAAAGAGTATTTATTTCTGGAGGTCTTGGTATATATACTGCTAATTTGCTACAAGGCAATGATATGACAGGAATTCGATGACATAATGCAGATTAAAGATGCTATTCATGCAAAGTAACATAGAAAGAACTTAATAATCTTTATTTCAATATTCAAATAAATGGTAGATATTGTCATATTACAGATTTACAGTTTCAAAAATTCAAACAAGCACCTACAAAGTCTGTCAAAGAAAATATGGCTAAATAGTATAGATTATGTCTCAAAAAAAATATTATTGATAAACTTATTTGCAATCATTATATACAAACTCCTCAAGATTCTTACTATTATTTAGCAGGCTTAGTACGTAATCTTTTTGATAAAACGTTCAAATCAATGAATGATGAAGATCATAGAGAGTTTTAAAAGTATGGTGAGTTTTTGAGATTCCATCTACTTAGAATAGATTACAGAATCCAATTACTCATCAAGATAGCTATTAGATGAATGATTCATTATGCCTTACTATGATCATGCTTTATATATTAACTCACACTATTAATTATCGATATTACAAGGCTGAAGTTATTACTAAAATAAAAAATGAATGTGGTTTAAGTAATCAGATACAAGTTTTAGAAATGATCATGAATTATTGGATAAAGGTAGCAAAGGCTTGTAAAGTTGTATTCAAATCATCATATATTATTACTAATACCCATAACGATTACATTCTTTTGAAAAAGGATCTTGAATAAGCTGCTATAATATTATTAAAGGTAATTTCATTAAAATTATATTTTGTTTTTTTATCATATTATTAAATAATAAACACTTAATAGGTTTTCAGATTTACATTTTCTAATTTGCTGAATCTTCATATTCTTTGCTATTTACCTGATATTGCAACTAATTTCAGAATATTAGTGAATGTCTCAGTATCTTTAAAAGAGGCAGTGCATAAATTATATAAAAAATTGTTTCACACACAAATAAGAAAGATATTTCAATGGATTTTTTAAAGCGTGATAATACTCTTCAAACTTTGAGATACTTATTAGATGGTAGATTAGATGCGAGACATAATGAAACCAATTTATTTATTAAATTTACACGCGATATAATATTACATAAATTATTAGATGGTTGGTATATTGGAGTACCTTCGATGCAAGCTAATATTAAGAATGAAAATATTATTAAAAATAACTTAACAGGTATCTGATACTAAAATTGAGTTTTTTATTTTTAATTTTTATTTTATTTAAAATTACTTGAATTTAAAAATTTTATCTATTCATTCTAATTTTTAAAACATTTGAGTTTATGGTTTATGGAAACAATCTAAGGTCCAAAAATAAGGTTTATAAACTGTTCTTTTTGTAAACAATATATTAACTGATATTACAAGAATCTATAGAGATATATATCAAAACTTTGGTGCTATTATTCAGTGTCATGTTAAATATTATGATAATATTCAATTCACAGTACAACATGAGACCAATGATTATACTGATATTACATTATAAATTGGTAAAATAATCAATATAGAAAATGTTGACAGTCTTGATAAACGATTATATGCATTAATTAAAATAATCATGATACATCAAGGTAATTTCAGATATAATAATCCCTTCTTAATAATTGACTGATTTTATAGAAATGGAAAGACTGACTCTATAATAGAATTTCCAATTTATGGTCTTCAAGAAAATAATGATCATTTATGGTCACATTTGCAACCTTTAACAATAGTGAATCAAAAACCCAAAATGCATTTTGTTCATAAATGCACAAATTTTTGTTCTAAAGGATTTTATGATAAAAATAATGAAGAATATATTTTAAATAAATTTTATTATTTAATTGTATGATTATATTATATATTTATTATTAATATTATAATAGTATTGATATATATATTATAATGATAATAATATATATATTGTAATATATGATAAATATATGTTGTAATATATAATAAATATTTGTTGTAATATATACACTGGTCGAAATCAAAAAAATTGGACATGTGAAAATTGGCCTAAAATCAGCCTAAATCAGCCTAAAATCAGTCTAAAATTGGCAAATTATCAAAAATCAGCCTAGCCGATTGGCATACATCAGAAATCAACCAAGAATCAGCCAAAATTCAACCTATCTTATTTATAGCTGATTGGCATACTTATAGCTGATTAGTATATATCAAAATTTGACCTATCTTATTTATAACCGATTGGCGTCCGATTGGAACAGTTGCACTGTTCCTTAGGGATGATGGTATTATCGTTCTAAGGTACAATGCATTTATCATTCCTTAGGAATGATGGTATTATTATTCCTTAGAGATGATGGTATTATTGTTCCTTAGGGACGATGCATTTATCATTCCTTAGAGATGATGGTATTATTATTCTTAAGATACAATGGTATAATCATTCCTTAATGATGGTTTTATCGTTTATTAAGGACAATGGTATTATTATTTCTTAGGGATGGTTTTATCATTCCTTAGGGATAATGGTATTATCATTCCTTAAGGACAATGGTATTATCATTCTTAAGGTATGATGCATTTATCGTTTCTTAGGGATGATGGTATTATTGTTTCTTAGGAACGATGGTATTATCGTACCTAAGGAATGACGATTTTATCATTCCTTAAGTACAATGCATTTATCATTCCCTAAGACATGATGGTTTTATCGTTCCTTAGAGACAATGGTATTATCGTTCTTTAGGGACGATGGTATTATCATATCTACGAAATGATGATTTTATCATTTCTTAGGTACGATGCATTTATTGTTCCTAAGGCATGATAGTTTTATCGTTCCTAAGGTACGATGCATTTATCGTTCCTTAGGGATGATGGTATTATCATTCCTAAGGTACAATGCATTTATCGTTCCTTAGGGATGATGGTATTATCATTCCTAAGGTACAATGCATTTATTGTTCCTTAGAGACGATGGTATTATCGTACCTTAGGAATGACAATTTTATTGTTCTTTAGGTACGATAGTATTATCATTTTTTAGAGACAATAGTATTATCATTTATCATTTCTAAGAACTGAACTTTCAGATTTAACTGATTACTAAAATAATATTGATTTAATATGTACTATTTAAGTTTATTTCTAGTATATAGAAATATTTATATAAATAAGCTTAATTTTTTAACTTTTTAAAAGATAATTTCAATCATTTCCAAATTTTCTCTTTTTAC